TTGGGCGACATCCTGCGCCCTGGCGCTTTTGCACGTCGGCCGCTTGTTGGCAGACTGAGCGCTATCACGGTACCTACCACTTTTATGTACGGATCGCATGACTGGGTCGAGCATACTGGAGGCCTGGAGGTCATCAGGCGAATTGGTGGCCGCGTTGCAACACACTTGTATCGCGTCCCTAATGCCGGCCACAACATGCATATTGACAACCCAACTGTCTTTAACCGATTCTTGGTGAGCGAGATGAAGGGAGTCCAAGTGTAGTAATTGATGAGACCGATTTGATCATCAGGTGATTGTAGCTTTCAAGTGCTCTTGCCTCTCTTTTTTCTTGTCAACGAATTTGTTTTTTGTTTTTTGTTTTTTTTGTTACTATATATTCGCATTTATTGTCTACCAATTCGTCTTTTTATATTTATCAATTCTGTACCTAGCCTTGGAGAAATGGTTGTTGGCAAGCTAATTCACATTGGCGTCGACCTGGTACTTTTGTCGACTGCCTTGGCTGGTATCCGGCGGTCCACGGGGTTAAAGCTCAAGCCTGACAGTTTGGTTGAGAGCAAGGATATGCAAAGCTATATCGAGCGCTACTTGAGTCTTGGCGAAATGGCGATGGACCTTGCTGCCTCGAGGATGGGATCTAGTTCGACGTACTTTACTCGAGACCACTAAGTGATATTACTACACATTGTTTCAATACATTATTAAACTATCTTGTGATGTACCTAGAGTGATTACAAGAATAATGAACATATTGCGCCTGTGTAAAGGTAGGCGAGTGAAGGCTTTATTTTGTTTCAAACTCGTGTTGGTCATAAACTTTGCCATGACAGATGTGACTAAAATGCTCCCCGGACAGGGAAGCTGCGGTTGGCCAGAACTTCGTCAGCCAACTTGCGCGTAATTTCTCCGCCATTTTCTGTGCACATACCTGCTAGACAGCGATAGTAGTCATAGCATGGTGTCCAATTGTAAGCTAGCTTTTTGATTATACCGTTTCTTATATAATCGCGACCGAATATAAAGCAGGTATACTCATCAACAACGCGATTACTTTCATCGTAATAATATACGTCAAGTTTCCCTTTACTATCGCTGCAAGTACGAGGCGATAACTCTGTATATGCCTTCTCGTGGGCTTTGCCAACAACCGCACTTACATCAAAATGCTTTAAATACACCATATTATTTTCTATGAATAGAATTGGGAAGTTCTTGAAATCAGTCATTTGCAATATGTAATATGTTTTGAGGTTGCCAAAAAAATAATGATGTTAGTGAAGAAAAATGTGGGGGGAAAAAGAAAGGTGATATCCACCGGTGCTGCTTTTTATTGTGTGGTCGAGAAGGTGGCCGGGGAAGGGAAAAAAATTCACCCCCTCACACATTCCTCTCTCTCTCTCTCTCTCTTCCCCAATGTCGCATAGCGTGCACTTGCCAAAGACGCCGACAAAGGCGCAGATCGGAATCTGTGTATTGGTATGTATCGGACTCGGACATGACTGCTTTCTGTGCTTTGAACAAAAGAACTCTGAAGCAGTCGCAACATGTCCCAATAGGTTGAGCGTTGGCTTATTCAATGATTTTGGCTGGCCCAATTAATACAATAACTAGTGTGTTTGAAATCAAGTGCATTGCTGAACAGTGCGCCTAATTTTTGTTTACATTCCTCGGTACTCGCCAGATTTGCTTGTGCTCCAAAATTGTCACTGATACCCATCTGCATCGAGAGTATGTGTGCCTTCATATTGATGATAAATAATAAATACAACTAGTACATATTGTCTAAATCTATTGATTCATGAGACATTGCCAGCTGCATACGGGATGTCATTAATGGAGTATTTTTGGTGCCAAGGCCACTACGGCAGCACGATGGCACTTTGTTATGATATAGCAGATGATAATAGCGATGACAGAGAGCACAGTACTGCATTATTCAATGTTTTCTCAAGCTACGTGCTATGGGAGGTATGTTGCTAGTACTTTTAACTTGGCTTTAAACTTGGCAGAAGCAATTGTGATCTTAGTGTGGAAACTGTCTCTTGGTAGGCCAGCCTCACATCCTCTTCAGCTTCAAGCAGAAGCTCGCAGTATGTGGAGTCTCATCAGCATTGACATGATCCACCTAATGACGCTGCCACCTTTGCTAGTCAGGAAAATTTTAGTCTTATTTAAGCCTTGGCTTGTTGCATGACATAAGTCTTGAGTGATGTGTAGCATGAGCGTCGATTTCCATCGAATAAACATGGCCTTGCCAGAGTGCTCAATGCCATCTAGGGATAGTTCTGTGCGAGTGCGGAAGATCTCTGTGATACTAAAATGTAATCCAATAAAATAAAAGATAAAGAGTTCTATTCTGTAAACAATAATAAACTCTTTTAAATAACAACTTTCTACTGCGGCTAAGCCACAACCCTTGCCCTGTCCGCCGATTCGTTGATCTTGATTTCCTGCGTGACAATCTCCCACACCACCAACCCATGTAGGGCATCTGCATTTGGCAATTTGCTTCTCCAGGAACCAAAATCCGTGGTGACCATACATAGGTTGACCTGAAAAACGGGCCCAGCTGTATCTAATTGTAAGCCTTAAAGAAAAGTCGAGACCCGCTGCCAGAAATCTTGGACGCGGGGACAAAACCAAAAGTAGTGTGCAAAATTCTCGCGCTCAAATTATTTAGCCACGCACAAGAGGCCCAAGAGAGAGAGATTATCACTACGCTTTACCAATCACCATTATGAAGTCTTGTCAGATAATGGGTATTTAGCTCAAAAATTTGGTTTCTTGGTGTAGTTGGTTATCACGACTGCCTAACACGCAGTCGGTCGCCAGTTCGAGCCTGGCAGAAATCAAACAATGTGATTTTTTGGAATTTTCTTTTTCTTTTTGCCACATGCGCAAAATATTTGAAACAACTGTTTTGGAGCAAGCATGATATATTTTATCACTGGTGTGTGGCACTGCCGTTTTTACTTCCTGTGAAAGATACATCGTCAAACGCCACATAGTTCACACATGGGTGCAACATGTTCTCAAGAACTACTCTCCTCAACTTGCGCTCAGCGTGGGTTGCACTTGCTGAATCAGTGAGCAACATGACCACTACTGTCCTGACCAACCAATACATAATAGCGCGTGTGTTACAGTTGAAAGAAAAAAATATTTTGAGTTTATTTCTTGTTGAAGAAACAACTAAAACTGCATCCTAGAGCTACAGATTTTATAAACCCACTACTACGTATAATTTTTCTATCAAGTGCTGCCATAGCGCCTAATTTCAACTAGTGATGACATAATAATTCTGGTGCTTTGACGTTCAAGGCATCGCTTCAGTGTAGTATTTAAAAAAAAAGTCATCGAAAGTAAACATGAGTCAAACGATTAGCGCTGCCACGCAACAATGAAAAAGGAGGAAGGCAGTAGACACTTTGATCGTTCTCTAAACAATGGATAGGTGGCGAAGATCGGTGCAAATAATAAACAACGTCAAAAGCGCCGACCTCTTTTCACGATTTGGGGAAAATAAAAGAAGGGCAAAAAGTTAGGACACCCGGTATTCCCATATGGTCACCCACTATAGTACTAACCGGGCTGTAACCAGCTTGTCTTCGGAGATCGGGACGGGATCCGGAACTGGAACTTGGTTCATATGGCCCTAACTGAAATC